AAACCTTCATATACTTGCACCTTATCCTATTATAATTTCATCATCTTCTATCTTACAATTATAGGCCGGGTGTGGGTGTGGGTGTGGGTACTTCTTCTTCATTCACACACACGTCCACATTCTCAAGACTTTTTGTTCTTTATTCTGTTATATGTATAAAAATATTTATAATACTTTAACATATAAAATTATTTTCTTTCTTTACCAATGTGGCAAAAATTTCTGCTGCTACCAATTTTCATCAAATCTCTAAGTTTTCTTGAACAGATCTTTAGATCTCGATAAATATCTGAAAACTAAAAATTTATTTTCTATTTATTATAGAAATAATTTCAACAAATATACTTTCACACTTCAGTGTCATAAGACTAATTTCTACTATTTCTGATTTCTGCTTTTCTCATTGATTAGAATGATACTTTATGGTGACTGTGATATTTCTAATAATGATTTTATTATATTTTTAAATAAATCTATTTATCTTTTGAATAATTTTTTTTCTATAATAAAAAATGGTCTTTCTAAAAAGATAAGTATAGGAATAGCTGCAGCGTAACTTAAAAATAATTGTGATACATAATTATTGATTACAGTAAGTGGTTGATAATAGAATGGCATTGTTTGATTGTGTATAATAATATAGATAATAGTCAAATGAATTAGATAAGTTGCATAATTTAAACGTGTTAAAGGAATCCAAATAGGCCATGATAAAATTTTGTTTACTATTCCATTTTCAGTAATACTACACAAAAAAATAATCCATCCAACAGCTAAAGACCAAGCTGGACGAGATAACATATCATAAGCAATGATCGATGCTCGATTAAGACCATTGACTGAATTATAATCACCATACATTGAAAATATACAAACCAAAAAACTTGATATAGTAAGAAGATTTCCTATTAATTTTATTTTACTGTTAATAGAATATGTACGACCTTTATTAATAACAAGAAAACCAGTAAGAAGACCTATAGCATAAGCCGAAATTCGACACCATGGAGCAACATAGATAACATTAAAGTAAGTAGGTTCAGTCTATTAAGATAAAAATTGAAACAATTCTGAAAGATTTTCTTTTTGTTACTTACAAGCTGTGTAGATTGTTGAATAGCATTACGTACATTATTAGGATTGAGATGAGGATAGTAAAGAAGAAGACCAAAAATTGATGCCATACTGATAAAAATATAAATAATACCGACAATATATGCAAGTTGTTTTCGTCCAAGTACAAATGGAATAAGAACAAGTGGAGCAACCCAATGAAATTGCATATCATTGAAAAGATACCATGAAACATTCAAACACATATTTTGTGGTTTAATTAAATTGCCAATATAAAAAAAAGCTGTCCACCAATAATGATTCCGACATTCTTCCGATTCAAATCCTTGTTGAGAAGGATATGCCGGTCCATAACCAAAATAAGGTGTTAAATAAATACTCATAAACATAATAATTATAAAAGTAGGTGTCAATCGAATATATCGATGAATATAATAGAGAAGCATAAATCGACGAGATAATTTTTCTTTCTTAACTTGTCGAACAAAAAGAATAGCTGTTAAAAAACCACTAAGAACAAAAAATGTATCAACATTTAATACAGCACTTGTAATTAATTGAAAAATAAAATAATGTGACCAAGAGATAACATCCAGATTATTCACTGTATAGTTCATACCAAATAGAAATGAATGACAAAATATAATATAAAAAAGAGCAAGTACACGAATACCATTAATAAAATGAAATGAATTTTCAGAGTTTTTTTGTTCCATATTAAAAATATATTGTAATGTACGAAGAGCGGAAAATTCAGCTATCCATATTTTCTTTGATAATGGCTCATTATTCATAATAATAAGATCGATTATAGTAGCTATAAGAACAAGAATAATTAATATAGAAAGAATAACACATATTATTATTGTTCCTATTAATCGATTATTTTTTTCATTAAGATGATCATTTGAACAATGTAAATAATCATTTGTTAGATTTATACTGTTATTTAACATGGCTTGAACTAGTGAAACTATTGATTGACTATGACATGATGAAGGGAAACAAAGACCAATAACGATACTTGAACTAACAAAAGCACCTGCATTTGATGGATTTGTTAATAGTTTACCTAAGTAGATTTTTGGTATAAAAATTCGAAATTTTGATAGATTTATACGTACAATATTGAGTTTCAAAAGGTTGTTTTACGTATGATTGACTATCATATTGATATAAAGGTTGAATACATTCATCATAATTCCCAGCCCAAAAAACATTACCTTTGAGTAAACCAGATGGTAAAGGTTTACCCCATGAATCTAATATTTTCAATGCCCATAATTGTTGATTTAAGACACCTTGAATCAATAATTCAATATCTTGTTCACATGTCGTATTTTTATTATTGAATAATAATATATTTGCTAATAATTCTTCGAGTCTAGAATTAATATATGGTAAATTATTAAGATTAAGTAATTCGTATTGTTGTCGAATAATTTTTTCGAAATTAGATGGAATTGTTTGATCTCTTAATTGACAATCAATGTGTTGAAATGAGAAGATCAAGAGTAATATTATTCCAGTAAACATATTTAGTTATCTAAAAATATAATGTATCAAGACAAAAGAATGATATTACACAAACCTGACATAGTATGTCAAGGCCATAATGATAAGATATTTTGAATATAACGAGAAGAACAAATATCATTATAGAATCAAATAGAATATCTTACGGTCATTTTTATGAACTTCAATGATGTCGACGTAGTGATCTGTTTTATTATAAGACGTATAACAGATTGTATTCGTCATCGTCCACCATTTTCAATGTACTTTCTATTGATAATGATAATAATGAAAGCGAAAAAGCCAACGTTACACTTCTATGTAGAACAAAATATATTCTGTATACATGTTAGTTATTTAAAAGTGCTTGTATCATAGTATACAAAGTAAATTTCGTAATAACATCTAAAGTAGATAAGAGCCTCAAAACAAATGACGAATAAAAGCAAACATTCTAATAGCAAATATACGCAAAAATGTCATTCTTACGCAGTTCTAATGCGATCTTACATTATATATCATAGTATAGCATTATTTAGTGGTAGAAGTTATATACGTACTACTCAACCATACTCATTACTACTACAAATAAGTGCTGTTCTTTCACAACTTTTAGATGAGATCGTATTCTAAAGCTCTACATTATTTAATTATAACGATAAATATAGTAATGATCCTATTATTGATTACAGGACGATCAAATTCTTACAAATCAACAAAAATGGTTATATTTTTGCTCAAATATGACTACTTAGTGAAAAGGACAAAGATATTCTAATTCTGTGACATAATGGTATAGAAATATGAGACAGAATATGAACTCACTTAATTAGTATTTTAATAGTTGTTACTGAACAGTATGGGTTAAATAGTTTTATTTTGTTCCCTTTTTTCTCCTAATAAAATAATCAAATCTTTTTCGAATTTAGTAGCCATTGAATTTATTGATATATAATATGATTAAGAGTTTACAACACAACAAAAAAAGCGTTTTGTAAATTGTCAAATTCTTTTCCGTGTTTTCTTTTGTAATTATATTAATTAGATAATTGTGAGACCAAATGGAAATCTTATGTCCGCTTAGTAGTAGCAGTAGTAATAGTAGTCACTTGTGCTGGAGGGCCTTTGATAATTCGAGAAATGTGTTGTTTAACATATTGTCGAAATTCATGATGGTATATGAGCATAGTCACCATATTAATCCAACAACTAATGATAGGTAAAGCTGTTAAAATTTTAAATGTAAATGTTAATGTAAATAGAATTCCATAACCTATTCGATAAATATAAAGTGGAATCCAACCTATAACATATACAACCATCATAATAATAATATGCTTTAAAAGACTTTTTTCTCGATCATTAAAAACAGTTTGAGATGTTGTTTGTCTTGCTAACATATTCCCTGCTGGAGCCACACGTCGACCAGATGACCATGTATGAAGAAATATAATCAAATGAACGACTGTCATTATAGTACATGGAAATATAATGACAATAATTAATATGTATATATCTGCTATAAATCGTGTTAAAAACCCTTCACATGTCTAACAGATTAAAAAAATAAGAATTTTATTCAACAATAAATAATTCTTACCCCAGCTGATCGAGCAATCAAAGGAATAGGTGCTATTATTGCTAAAAAC